TTAATAAGATATTGATTTTGAATTGAAGGATTCTTGTTGTCAGGTTGCATATGGCTTCTGTTGATGATAATTGAGTGGAAGGGTTGGAGGAGGAGAACTTTTTTAACTGGCCCAGGAACTGAGGTTTCAAGATGCAGTCTATTAATGCTGTTGAGCAAGAATCAATTTCTGGAAGTTTTCAAGTTSGTACTAGAATGTTCGCTTACAAGAGCGTGAAGATTGTAATCTTCTCAAATAAACTCAACTTCCTTTTGCCTTTTGGTCCTCTAGCCATTCTTGTGGATAAGTTGTCTGGTCATAATGTAAGTTAAAATCATTACTGTTGGGTATGCATTCAAATCAATCGTGGATTATGTGTTTGTTGAGGCCTTCATGTGGATTCCAGAGTTGGGTCTTCTTCCTGAGTCTATTGGGTATCATACCGTTGGCGGAGCGGTTAGGTTATGCCACAGAGTAAGGACTTATGGGTCTCTCGTTTAATGCTAATTTTCTACCAGGTTTTTTCTAAAATGGTTTTTATTTAACAACTCAATTAATTTTTCCTCTGAAATAGGCAGCTGGCTTTTTACACTGGACCTACAGGTAAAGTTTCGATTTTAATTACACATGTCTTCAGTTTTCAAGTTCTTTTGATATCTGGAGTTAAGAAGCCTGCTCATAGGATATTTGTGAGTTTATAACTCATTTTTTTGACATTGGAGTAACTCATGATGGTTGTATGTTCATCAAGAAAGTCACTRTATTGTTACTTTGTAGATATGTATTAGATGTTGTAAATAATAAATTATCTGCTACTGCAAGATGTTCGTTTTGCATTACAACTTACTGATGCATCTGTTGCCACTAGTCTACTGTATGAATGCAATCCTGAGAAGGAGAAGGGCAAGTGGTGGGAAGGGGGAGGAGGGAGGGTAATGTCATAATTTACTATATACAAATTATCATAGTTATGAAAAGCKCAAGTGCATTTGATAGGAAAACATTTGCGTGCACAGGCATATGCATGTCAATGAAAAAGTAAATACAGAGGTATAGAGGGATCAAGCGTCCTCTTAACCATTTAAGAAATTGGTTAACCTGTTCATATTTTGGATGGGCAAAATTTTCTTCTTTAATTAAATATTCTTCCGTRGGCACAGCTGTCTCACGTATAAACCTGTTTTCTTTTGGTTATAATGATTCTAGTATTTTCTCAATTTTCTCTGCTGATATGAAGATTGAATATGCAGTTGGGGGTCTATTAAATGCCACTTTTGGAAATGCGACGGAACTGATTATATCAATTTTTGCACTGAAAAGCCAAATGATACGTGTTGTTCAGCTGTCATTACTAGGTTCAATTCTGTCTAACATGTTGCTGGTGCTTGGTTGTGCATTCTTCTGTGGTGGGATTGTTTTCTGTAAAAAGGAACAGAGTTTTAACAAGGTATAAAGGTTTCACCTTATCCCAGGAATGCCTTTCTTTCTCTATTATTTTTTAAGCTACTATTTGTTCTAAACCTGAAATCTCATGCAGGCAACTGCTGTTGTCAACTCAGGATTGTTGTTAATGGCTGTCATGGGCCTGCTTTTTCCTGCTCTTCTCCACTACACGCACAGTGAAGTCCATTTTGGGACGTCGGAATTGGCACTCTCTAGATTCAGCAGCTGCATCATGCTTCTGGCTTATGCTGCTTATCTTTTCTTCCAATTGAAAAGTCAGAAGAATCTTTATTCTTCCATTTACGAGGTCGGTTATGTTCCTGTCATTCTTTCTTTTGACGTTATGCATATCATGGAAGATAYCAATTATCAATTCGAATTTGTGCTGTCTCCTGCATAAAATTTATACCTTGTGGGGGGCTCATGAGAGCTCGGGCGGTAGGGTGATCCAGTTGGTCCAGTCGTTCCTTACCATAAAAACCTCATAAAAATCCCAGAGCGGGGTGCAATGGTCTTAGAGTCATATCTCAGTTTGAAATCTTGATAAACATCCCCAATATCTAGACCTTTTTTTTTTTTTTTTTTTTTCTTGGTTGAAGGATGGCAGACCGGATTTAGAGGTTTAACGGTTTATCATGATTCGAATTTGGTGCCATTATGTTGACCCTTGATCCCAGTGCAATTTTTTTTCCCCTCATTTTTATTTGAACTTTTTGTTTACTAGTTATTCACATTTTATTGAGCTACACAAGTTCAGGAAGAAACTCAGAGCGAGGAGAGCTCAGATGAAGATGAAGCTCCTGAGATCTCCAAGTGGGAATCAGTTATCTGGCTATCAATTTTGACCATCTGGATTGCTGTTCTATCAGAATACTTGGTTGATGCGATCGAAGTACCACATTCTTTTGTTTTACACCCTTCCATTTGTTCCAAGCAAAAGCTTCAACTTTTGTTTATAATTGTTGCTTATAAAGTGATTCTTTTACAGGGTGCATCTGTATCCTTGGAAATCCCAGTGTCGTTTATTAGTGTTATACTACTTCCGATTGTGGGGAATGCTGCTGAGCATGCAAGCGCTATTATGTTTGCTATGAAAGATAAGCTTGTAAGCTTTATGGCATTCTCCACCCAAATCTTTTTTCACGAAAAGTCGGACAGATGTGATGTCAAGTTTATTGGCAGGATATTTCTCTGGGTGTAGCTATCGGATCATCAACTCAGATATCAATGTTTGGGGTAAGTCATTATATCCATTAAAACATGATGGAGTACTTATTTCTTCTACTTTGTCGATGTAAAAACGGCCTGTGATGTTTCTCTGAATTTGAATTTGAATCTGCATCACGGCGTAGTGCAATCATTGTCTTGTTTCTTTCTCATTCTCAACACATGAATTTCTCAAGTCATCTTGTTTGGAAATCAATGCAGATTCCTTTCTGTGTGGTAACTGGATGGATTATGGGACAACCAATGGACTTGAACTTTAAACTCTTCGAGACGGCGACGCTTTTTATAACTGTAATAGTGGTAGCTTTTTTGCTGCAGGTTTGTATTTGACAACGTTCATATCTTGGAATATAAATACTTCTCTTACTTCCCATATCCAAATAATGTAAAAGTAAAGTTTTTTCTGCAGGAAGGAACTTCAAATTACTTCAAGGGACTTATGCTTATCCTTTGTTATCTGATAGTCGCAGCTAGTTTTTTCGTGCACGTCGATCCTCCTTCACCCGGTGAGTAAACGTGCGAGCTCTATGTTTTCACCATTTAAAAGTGGCTCAAAATCAACTTGTTCTCTTGTTTATGAGCATTCAAAAGTTGGGTTCTTTTTTTTTCTTTCTTCAGAGAACAAACTGGGGAGTCTGAAAGCGTAGCAGAAGAGGAGAGGAATCTTCAGTGAAATTCAGAAGGGCTTTCTTCACGAACACRACTTGCTCAAAGGCCAGGGATGGAAGATTTACTTGAAGAAAATGCTTTGAATGCTAGAGGTGCTGTAAGTGTCTAAGCAGTGCTGATCTAACTTGGGTTTCTTATAACTAGAAAACTTGATTATGTGTGTAATTTTACTGTAAAAATTGGTCATTTCCAGATGCTAGTTGTTAATAAGAATGTATATTTTTATTCAAATAGCACCGAGAGCCCATTCTTGAAGAAATACTGAGATGATATCTTAGGTGGCTGAGCAAAAAATAGGTAGAAAGCCACGTGACCCGCCAGCATGTGCTTAAGCCCACATAAGAGACTAGAGTCAACGASTGGAGGAGAGAGAAAGTAGGGGGAGAGAGAGGGGGTTGACCAGGTGTCTTAAGAGTGAGCTACCCACCCATCTCTCACACGCTCAATGGCGTTGAATTCTTTAATAAAATCATGCAGCTTTGATGGCTCTCTCTCTCTCTCTTTTACCATATAACCAACCCCATGCAATCACTCCTCATTTCCTTTCATTCCATTATATATAACAATGTCAATCTACTCTCTCCCCATAATAGAAAAACACAGCCTCTCTTTTTCTTTTTCTTTGTCTAAGAAAAAAAAGAGTACTGACCAAAGCAGATAGTGAAGCAGCAAAGCATTCTCTTTTAACAGTTTACTGTTCTTTGCCTTCCCCATCCCTCTTCTTTGGCTTTGTTATTGTTTTGGTTTTGGTTAAGAAAAGAAAATAAAGACAAAAAAAAAAGAAATTAGAAAAGAGAGAAACATGGGCAGAATTCCATGCTGTGAGAAGGAAAATGTCAAAAGAGGACAGTGGACTCCTGAAGAAGACAACAAGCTCTCTTCCTACATTGCCCAGCATGGCACTCGCAACTGGCGCCTYATCCCCAAGAATGCTGGTATAACTCTATTACTCTCTCTCTCTAGAAGATATCCTCTATCTCCAGAACATATCAAGTCATTTTAGTTACTCAAATGGAGCCTCAAGGTCGGCAAAGTTTGAGGTCTCTTGGTCATATTGGCTTAGAGGTCTCAAGTTCGAACCTTCCGGTGAGCTTAATACAAAAATTCTTCCGGCTCCGGGCCTTGTGGCGGGTGCGGATACAAGGGAAGCAAAACTCCAACCCCCCGTTTAAAAAAAAAGTTACTCAATGGCTAATGCTGCAATGACATTCAGGTCTCCAAAGATGTGGGAAGAGCTGCAGACTACGTTGGACTAATTATCTGCGCCCCGACCTCAAGCACGGCCAATTTTCGGACATGGAAGAGCAAACCATTGTGAAGCTACATTCTGTTGTTGGCAACCGGTATGCCAACTTCTTTATATCAATATTGCTTGCGTACTCTAAGAATTGTGCATTATGAATTTCTTGTATGTAAGAGGATCGGTATCGACTCTGCAGATGGTCGCTGATTGCAGCTCAGTTACCCGGTCGCACCGACAATGATGTCAAGAATCACTGGAACACTAAGCTGAAGAAGAAGCTATCAGGCATGGGCATTGATCCTGTCACTCACAAGCCATTTTCACATCTCATGGCTGAAATTGCCACCACTTTGGCCCCTCCACAAGTTGCACACCTTGCCGAAGCAGCGCTCGGCTGCTTCAAAGACGAAATGCTTCACCTTCTTACAAAGAAGCGTGTCGATTTCCAGCTCCAACAGGCTAACGTCCCACCCGGAAGCTCCACGGGAACTTATATTCACCTCAAACAAGATGAGAAAGATGGAACTGTTGAAAACATCAAGCTTGGTTTATCAAGGGCCATTCAACAGCCTGATCTAATCTCCCCTTACAAGCCTTGGAGTTCTACTGATGCTCCAACCACAAATTTGGAGGGGACCAACGATTGTTTCCCTGCATCGACGTCGGGATTTCAATACGGTCCGACGTCTTTCGTCAACGAGGGGGATGGGTCGTCGTGGAGCCAGAGCTTGTGTACGGGGAGCACGTGCACAGCCGGAGAACAGCAGGGGCAACTGCATGAAATCCTTGAAGAAAATGGGGAGGAGCTATCAGAGGGTGGAAAAGAGATCAGAAATGGGACAAGTATATTCAGCTCAGACTCTGTTTTGTGGGATTTACCATGCGATGATCTGATGAATCCAATAGTCTGAGGAAGATGACAACAAAAGAGAGTAAAAATGCCACCAAATTCCTAAATAATGTGTCTGCTTAAATGATGCAATCATGAAACTGTGAATAGAGCTCACTCTACGGTGCTACAATAAAGTGAAATCATAACTACAATAATTTTTTTTCCTTTTTTTTAAAGTTCGGAGTGGATTGAACCATCGACCGATATTATAATAATTTTGTCCAACTCTCTCCTCTCTCTATTTACATCAACACTATGACATGGCACAACGAACCTAACACAATTAACCTATAGCAATAGAGTATTGGAGCTAAAAATATGATAGAATACATCAACACTATGACATGGCACAACGAACCTAACACAATTAACCTATAGCAATAGAGTATTGGAGCTAAAAATATGATAGAATACAATCTACGACAATATAGACTAATATTTTTCTTTGAGCTCAACTATTTAATTAATTACAAGTTTCTTCGTAGAAGATTGATTAGTTGTCAAAATTTAATCTTTCGAAGAAGTACCAGACATATGAGATCTATTAACAAACAACCTTTAAGAAAAGTCAATCTTAACATGCTTAGTACGATATCACACACAATATAGTAAGAGATTCAACCCATCAAATATGAGCAACTATATTTAAGTTCTAACACCATCTAGAAACAATTTTTCTTGTTCTTTTTAAAAAATTCCAAAAGATAAGATTCCCTCTACGAAACGTGCAACAAGCACACTCTCACTCTCACGTCATTTCGGTTCTTGTCAATCAACATCTATAGATTGATTTTTTTTTTTTTAAAAAAAAAGCTAGATGGTGAATGAAGAGTTTCTCCAATATGCAAGATTCCTTGACGACTTTTTTTTTTGACTTCTTCCTTATGAGTTACTACAATATATATAAGTGAGATCCTAAAAAATTTTACCGACCTTAATTAAGAGTAAAATTGATTTTAGATCCCTCTAATTTGGGCTATCTCATGGTACGCGATACCATGAGGGCCGAATGACCTCCTTGCTAACGTCCCATTTTCAGAGGACGATTTAAAGTAGACCATTAGATTATAACACTATAATACTGATAAATTATATTTCAAGTTTCATTATCTATCTTCTCACGTCAACCACTCTAATTCTACATGTATTGATGCACAAATGCTAAAATTTGTCCTCAATGATAATGTTAAGTAGTTCATTTTCTACCCAAAATATATATATATATATATATATATACACATATATTATATATGAATAAGCACCAAGTTTTATAGTAAAATAATGGCTCAAGTAGGGTAAAATAATTGTGCTAAAAGGAACAATAATTGAATTTGGGTTTAGGTTTACCATTGTTTGGCCGAGTTGTAGAAGTAAGGAATTACTGGTTATGAGTTTTAGGTGGAAGAGAGGAAGTTCTAGACGTAGAAGAGCATGGCCAATAAATTTTCATAGTCATGGATAAAATTTTTTCCTTCCAATTCTAAAAATTTAGAGGCAGAAATTGGACAGAATTTTAAAAATTTTAGGCGTGTTCGATAACTATTTCGTTTTTTTTATTTTTTGTTTATAAAAATTAAGGCTAGAAACACTACTCCAACTTTGAGTTTCATTGTTTTGTTAGGTACTTTTTAAAAAATTTTGAAAACTAAAAATAGTAGTTTTAAATTTTACTACTACTATTATTATTATTTGATTTTGGCCAATCTTTCCTAAGAAGGTGAAAAATATACCACCAAAGCAATTGAGAAAGCAAGCATACTTCTTAAAAACAAAAAATCAAATACAAAATCAACTTTTTATAGTTCGCTCATAGAAGTAGGGATGTTACTTTTCCCTATAGGTACAAGACCTTTGCCCCAAGCGAGGCGGATCCTATGTGTATATATATAATAACTCTAATGAGACTCTACCCTCTCAAATTTTTCCTTCYCCTCTCTCTCAATTTTTCCTTTCAATAATTTGTATTATAAACTAGGAGACGTTCTSAGGAAATTTAACAATTTTTTTTTGTTAATGAAGTATGAACTTTTAATTTAGAATTTCTTAAAAAAAATTAATAAATACTAGAGTAATTTCCTAAGGAAGACAATCCTCACGAGTCTCTGCAAAATTTTATGAAAAATTTCACGGAGATTGGAGAATGAAATGGGGGCAAGGACGGGATGGGGCCRTCGAGTCCCGCCACCCCAATAACACTTCTACTAAGCGGAAAGGAATAGAAAATATAACATAAAGATGAGGCAATCCGATAAAAATCATTTGATGCTATTAGTACTTAATAGCAATATTTAAGGAAATGGTTTAGTAAATATATAAACAGATCAAACAGTTCAACAAACTTCTACATTGTTGAAAATCAGTCATAAGAAAGAGAAATATTGAGAGGATCTAAAAGAAATCAACGAGAAATTGTGAAATGGAAATAAAACTTCTAAAATTATGTTTACTAACATTAATTTGACAATGTGCTGATGTTCAAACGTGGGATCCGTAGAGTAAAATAAAAGGAAAATCGTTAAAATATAAGTTTAATCCCCTGAACTTTTRTAGTTCTGTGTATAATAGATCTCTCAACTTTCAATATCGTGTCTAATCATTGAACTTCTAATTTTTTATCTAATAAATCATTGATCTATTAGATATTTTAAAAAATTAGAAATCTATTAAACATAAAATTGAAAGGTTATGTCTCTAATTCATTTAAAAAATTGAGCTATTAAGAACAAAATTTAGAAGTCCAACGACTTACCGGACTTCTTAAAGTTTAAGAACCGATTAAACACAATATTGAAAGTTTAGATACCTAATTAGACGCAACTCTAATAGTTGGACSGAACTTGTAATTTCTAATCCATGGTTGGGAACTTTTCTTCATTTTAGTATGGAGAAGACAATTGCCAAATTTATYAAATATGAGAATGAAAAGAGCTTATGGGATGTATTCGGAGAGCCACGTAGAGTGCACCTGTGTGTATGTGTGGATCTAAATACGAGTATCATATTCTCCACAACTCAAAAGGAGGGCACGCCGAGCACACCAGACCAAGCTTGAATGGATCGCAGAGGACCATTAAGCGTACCGAACAGACTCAGGTACAATACCTGTGAGCGTGCCAGACACCCTACAGTGCCTGCTGACCATGTGTCAAAGAAGTGTCTTGTTAGGCCATCTATGGTGATGACATATAGTACGAGGGGTAAAAAAAAGGAATTAGTAGGGCAGTAACAATTAGGGGAGAGAAGATACAATCCTAGCCACATGAATAAATACGGAGGAGGATGGGTTAGGGAGGATTGTCTAGAATTCAGTGCTTAGAGCATAGAAGGAAGGTAGGAGAGATTCCCCACCCTCTCGAATATGTGGGTTGGCATTGTAACAACCTAAGGGCTCTCTTTGTTTTCAATAGATCACGACGCTACATCGGAAGCTCGATGAACAACAGAAACTGAGTGAAAGCAGCCATGTTACGTTAAAAGCGTTCATGGCGGAAATTATTGGTGGATCTTTGCGGCCAACTTTGTTGGTCACTGGAGAATTGTCCGTGCAGAAAGGGAAGGGAATAGAACCCGAAGCTGTTGTAGCAGGACAGGGCGATCAGTTCAATGATCGCAACCGATTTCAGAAGGTTGAGATGTAGGTGTTCGCCGAAATGGATTTGGAGTCTTGGCTCTTCCAGGCAGAGAGGTATTTTGAGATTCAGAAGTTGACAGATGTAGAAAAAGTAATCGTGGCTGTAATAAGCTTTGATGGAATCGCACTGGCTTGGTACAGGTATATCGACAATTGCAAAAAGTTCAAGGACTGGAATGACCTCAAACCGCGATTGAAAATCTGATTCCGATTGTGAAGGAAGGGCAACAATGCGATGAAATCATCTCCATCAAATAGGAAGGCACGTTTACGGAATATCGGCAGAAGTTCAAGGCACTAGCGGCTGCCTTGCCGYAGTTGACGAATGAAGTTTTGGAAAGCGCCTTCCTCAACGGTTTGAACCCTGTTGTTCGGGCTGAAGTTTTGGCTCTTAAGCCCAATGGGTTGGATCAGATGATTCGAAAAGTCTAGTTGATAGATGATGTGAGTACGACGATCCAAGAGGCTAATAGCATTTCCACTTTCGGAGCCCAAAACTCAGGCCTTACCACGAATAAATCTTCTTCTGCCAAAACACATAAGGTAATCCCAACTCGCACAGTTACTATTGCTAGTAAACCTACTATTCTTACACAGACGACTAAGAAGGAGGCACCATTCAAGAAACTTACCGAGGCGGAGTATCAGAAACGAAGGGAAAAGGGGTTGTGCTTCCATTGTGAGGAGAAATTCTCTGTGGGACATCAATGCAAATCAGGAGTTGCGAGTKATAGTAGTCCACGACGATGAGTTGCTTGAAATGGAAGATGATTTAGTCGAAGCAGTGGCCACGGATAGCACTCCGATGGAGACGGACGGCATGACGGAATGGCAACTCAACACAATCATTGGGTTCTCGACCCTAGGGACTATCAAGGTGAGGGGTACCATTCAGGGATGAGATGTGGTGGTCTCGATCGATTGTGGGGCAACTCACAATTTCATTTCACTCTCTTTGGCTGATGAATTGAAGCAGCCAATGACGGAGACGGTGCATTAAGGTGTGATTAATGAGATCTAGCACCGCAGTTAAGGGCAAAGGTATATGTCGAGGGGTAGTCCTTTCTTTACCTCAACTTACTATTAAGGAAAATTTCCTTCCTTTGGATTTGAGAGCCCTCGATGTCGTCCTCGGGATGCAGTGGTTGCAACTGATGGGTAAAATGGAAGCTGATTGGCCAACGTTGACCTCGAATTTCTGTCAAGGGGGAAGAGAATTACCATTAAGGGGGAAAGTCTCCTTAAAACGGTTGACGAGGAAGTGGAAACCACAAGACCAAGGTTTCTTGGTGAAATTAAGGACTCTAATTACGACTAATTCAGGGGATCAAGAGAGGACTGTTGCCACCATTCAACCGAAGGTCCAAGAATTGTTGTTGGAGTACTCCGATTTATTTCGAGATCCCAYGAAATTACCCCCACACCGGATGGTCGATCATATAATTCCATTGAAAGAGGGGCAATCGCTGGTGAATGTAAGGTCGTACCGATACCCTCACGTTTAGAAATTGAGATTGAAAGGCTCATTAGTGATATGTTGACGGCGGGAGTTATAATACCAAGTGTGAGCCCTTTTTCAAGTCTGATAATCTTGGTAAAGAAAAAGAACGGTAGTTGGCGATTTTGTGTGGACTACCGCACCTTGATTAATGTCACCATCCCAGATAAATTCCCCATACCTCTTGTGGAAGAATTATTGGACGAACTACATGGATCAACCATCTACTCGAAAATTGACCTAAAATCGGGGTATCACCAAATTAGAATGGCTACGATATTCATAAACCGGTATTTCGAACCCATGAAGGGGATCATGAATTTGTGGTTATGTTGTTTGGGTTGACCAATGCCCCATATACGTTCCAAGCTCTCTAATGAATAGCATCTTCCGACCATTTCTTTACAGGTTCATCCTTGTATTTTTTGATGATATTCTAATTTATAGTCCGGACTTGCAGACACACTTGACTCGTCTTGGTGTTATGTTTAATATCCTGAASGATCATTCGTTGTTCACCAATTTAAAGAAGTGCCACTTCGCAGAGCCACGCATAGAATACTTRGGGTATTGAGTGTCTACTGAAGGCGTTGAGGTTGACCCATCCAAGGTCCAAGCGATGTTACAGTGGCCTATTCATTCCACGATAAAGGAGCTTCGTGGTTTTCTTGGGTTGACAGGCTACTACCGGAAATTCGTGGCTAATTATGGAGCCATTGCAGCTCTGTTGACTCAGCTCCTTAAGAAGGATGCATTCCAGTGGTCTGAGTAAGCAACTGCAGTATTCGAACAGTTGAAGAAGGCCATGGTTACTTTGCTAGTGTTGGCTTTAYCGAAATTTAGTATTTCTTTTATCATCGAAACCRATGCTTCTAGCTCAGGATTGGGGACTGTCCTTATACAGAACTAGAGGCYGCTAGCTTACTTTAGCCATACACTGTCTTTCTAAAACCAGGCTAAGTAAATCTATGAGAGGGAATTAATGGCAGTGGTGTTGGCCATCCAACGTTGGCGTCCCTACCTGTTGGGACAGAGGTTTATCATGCGAACCAATCAACAAGCCCTCAAATACTTGTTGGAACAACGGATTGTACAGCTTGAATATCAGAAGTGGATATCCAAATTCTTAGGATATGACTTTGAGATTCAGTACAAGCCGAGTTTAGAGGACAAAGTGGCCTGATGCATTGTCACGAATGCCTCCGACTACACAATTGGCTACTCTTTCGGCACCWACAGTCATTGATGTCGAGACTATACGGACTGAAGTGGCTAATGATCCCCATTTTTCTCAAGTTCTTTCGGCCCTCACCACTGATCCAGACAGCGTACCTAAGTTCCATCTGCAGCAGGGCATGCTTTGCTACAAAAGACGGCTGGTAATCTCTAAATCTTCCTCACTTATATCTGTCATTCTTCATATGTATCATGATTYGGTGTTGGGAGGGCATTCTGGCTTTTTACACACATATAAAAGGTTGATAGGTGAGTTATATTGGCTTAGTATGAAGAGTGATGTCAAGAAGTATGTGGAAGAATGCTTGACTTGTTAGCATAACAAAAATGAGTCAATGTCTCCTGCTGGTTTTTTCAGCCTATGCCCTTACCTGATCGTATTTGGGAGGATTTGTCAATGGACTATGTGGAAGGATTGCCCAAATCCCTTGGCCATGATGCCATCTTTGTAGTGGTGGATAAAGTGAGCAAGTACGCTCACTTCATTCCTYTCTGTCATCTATTCACTGCCAAAGTGGTAGCTGCAACCTTTGTTCGTGAAGTGGTGAGACTTCATGGGTTCCCTCATTCCATTGTCTTGGACAGGGATAAAATCTTTGGAGCCATTTTTGGACAGAGTTATTCCGGCTTTAGGGTACAAAGCTTCAACAGAGTACTCCTTACCACCCACAAACAGATGGCCAGACGGAAATTGTCAATCGATGTTTAGAAACGTATCTCCGATGTTTCTGTAGTGAATGACCAAAGCAGTGGGGCTAGTGGTTACCTTGGGCTGAATACTGGTAATATACGACTTTTCATAACTCCCTTGGCGCAACCCCATTCAGTCGGTCTATGGCAAAGACCCCCAACCCCATTCAGGTGGCATATCGGCTTGACTTGTCTCTGGAGGCTTGAATTCACCCGACCTTTCATGTTTCTCAACCGAAAAAGGCCATCGACAACCTATCAACCACTTTCAAGTTGCCCCCGCAGCTCACAGAGGACTTTGAGTGGCTACTTGAACATGAGGAAGTCTATGCGGTGCGTACGAATGACAATACYAGTGAATAAGAGGCGCTTTTTAGTTGGAAGGGGTTGGCCAAAGAAGATGCTACTTARRAGTCTGTCAATGATATGTGCAAGCAATTCCTTCATTTTCACCTTGAGGACAAGGTGGCTGCTGATACGGGGTGATATTAGGCCACCTATAGTGATGATATATAGTAGGAGGGGTAAACAAGGGAATTAGTAGGGTAGTGATAGTTAGGAGAGAGAAGATGTAATCCTAGCCACGTGAATAAATAGGGAGGAGGATGGGTCAGGGAGAATTGTCTAGAATTCAGTGCTTAAAGCAGAGAATGAGAGATTCCGCACCCTCTAATATAGGTGGGTTGRCATTGGTTAACAGCCTAAGGGCTTTCTTTGTTTTCAATTGAACAGGAAAATTTCATAGTGAGGATACCTCACATGTCCTCAACGCTGACCTGTCCTTCAATAGAATTAGAAGTAAACAGAGAATATCGATGGTCCCCACACCCCTATTCCATCTTCTTCCTCAATCTACCTTCTACCTATAAAAGGGACACTTAAACCCTAGTCTCAGGTACATAAACTCTCTTGTGAAAAATCCTAGCTCATAATAAAAAATTGCTCCCACCAAGTTCTAACTTAGGCATCAGAGAGCATTTGACTGAGCTCCACACTGATRTTAGTTTCTATGTTGTAGGATACCTCTAGGCTTCAAAGCGTACATATCCGTCCGAAAACGTACATTAATAATCGACACCATCCAATGGGGAAATAGAAAACGATAGTGAACTCTACCCCTAAAAGATTTACATCTCACAATGGCAAAAGTACCCCTAAAAGATCTAGATCTCACAATGGCAGAAGAATACTTTTGAACATTCCAGCAATGAAAGACGTTTGGAAGAAAGATGTAGGCGAACCCGCCTGCAAGAAATGGCYGAAGGCTGGTGATAGAACTCCCTCTTGGGGAGCCTAACCTCCAACAGGCCCAGCCACCCAGACCGACAGAGAGGGCTCGAAGAGCCACTCCCAACACGTTGTAGGATGAATAAAGAAGTGGTCGCCCTACAAGCCGGCCTCTAGGAGGTTGGACAAAATGGAGATGCCCCACGATAAGAGATCCCCAGTAAATGTAAGGGTCTCGYTGGAGAAAAACTCGCGAGAGAGAATCGCAGCCACCCCCAAATCCATTGCGAGATGTGGACAACGCTCTGTTAATAACCYTCTAAACCCCTTCATGCCAACCAGAAGCCTCAGGGCACAAATTAACCAACGGAGAAATGCCMCATCCTTCCTTTTTAAATAGGTTGAACTCCACTCCACCAACTTATGGTCTGAGAAGAAACACGAGAGTAGTTGGAAGGCAGAGTTCAACAAGTTCAAGAACGAGCTCAAGGGAGAACTTAGAGGCGAGATCGTGGACGTCAAGAAGGGGGCTGAAGCAAACCCACATTAAGGGAAGCAAGACGAGTATCCACTCATTGGGGGCTGAAGCAAACCCACATTAAGGGAAGCAAGACGAGTATCCACTCATTGTGGAAATTATAGCTCTGAAACTTCCCACGAAATTTTGAGTTCCCACCTTAAAGAAGTATGACAAGACTACCAGCTCGATCGATCACATGGAGTTCTACCACTCCTGGATCTCAATGCGTAAAATGACACTATCAAGTGTAGCGTCCTCTCGATGAGGCAGCTCAAGCTAGGAATATCATCATAGCTCCATGTGGTATATGGCATCAAAGAAATGAAGAGGTGATCAATGACACTAAGGAGCAATGGAAAACAGACGCAAAATCATGGATCCCACCAGATACAAGCTAAATGCAGATGCTGTCGTTGTTGATGGAGCCGTGGGTATGATAGAGATTGTCCAAAATTAGTGTGGTCAGGTTAGGAAAGTGGTAGAACGTTTCTAAATGTTAACAGGAAGTAGGAACTGTAGTGGTAACAGAAGCAATGGCACTACACATGAAGCTAGATTACAACCATTGTGGGCTGAAGCTAACTCCATGGTCGTTTCGAAGCTCATTAATGGAGCTGACATTTTCTAGAATAAAATTCAACTTGTCATTCATGAAACAAAATCGCTAGAAACATGTTAAGTGTATGGCTACGGTTAATTTTGTGCCAATAGCCGCGGTAATACAGAGGATGCAAACGTTATCCAGAATGATCAAACATTGTAATAATATGAATCGGTTCGACTTTAAGCTTATATTACTACTTGCAAAAAGATTATTTAAAAAGAAAAATGTTGGGATCCATTTTATCTTGACCACTATTAAATGTTTTAAAATTAGAGAGACCCAATAGAAATTGAGTTTAAACCACAATGACTAAATTAAATTTCTAAAATCACATAAACTATATTAAAACAGTACATGGGTGACCAAAATTGTAATTTAACCTTAAACTAGCCTTGTTAGTACGTCTATTCATCTACCACTTGAGATAGGCAATTACACAATTACTGGACAATTTTGTAAAGATTTCAAATTTCAAATTTCAAAATCAATGTTTAAACTTTAAAACAATAAATAAAAGAACTAAGAATTGAGGATCCTAAGACCAATTGCTTCAGACTGTATTATTGAATGTACCAAAAGGAAAACTTGAGATCAATTGCTTCATTTTCCTGACTAAATTCTATCAGCTCAGCCTCAAACAATGAAACTTTGAACTGAGACAGCTCAAATATTGAGTTCGACTACAATAGAATATGATAAACAATATTTATACAAGAATATCATCCCACTAAATTCTTAGCTATATCTTTTCCTCCCAATAGTACACTATTTGATCAAGCAAAGTATGATGATGAAGAGGATGTATCTGCCAGAATCTGCAAAAACAAAACAATAACAGTTCAAGCAAAGTTTGATAATCGATCCATCCTATTTCGAATATGTTTTGATAAACTACACCCACCTCCAGTTGCTCTTCATTAAATGAATCTTTCTGAATATTCCAGGTATCGGCGTGAGTCCTTCGGAACTCGGCAATGGCTTTTGTTACAGTGACTTTCACGGGTGATGGCTCCACGCTGAACCGAGCAAGTAATGTAACACACTCCGGAAGCCAACTGAAAGGGCAGTAGATATAGGAACGGTATGAATCTATTTATCTAAATAGTTCAGATGGTTCAACTAGTGAAACTCCCCAAATGAGTCCCCACTACTCCAGAGAAGATACAAATTATACTCAATAAGAACTTCCTGAGAGGTACACGAAAACTTAGATTGTTTGGGGCTGTCTCATGTTCATACATGTGCCTAAGCCAACTCGGAATCAGCCAGAAGATTTTGATTGAAGCGATGAGGAAACCCAGTTGAGCAAAATGCTCACTCTAATGATTAACAAGCTTGGCTCTCCCAACTACATTACAAAACAAATTTTCAAGGATAAGTAGGCATACCTTGGCATATCATAAGGAGCTGACAAGACCGAAGCTGCCAAAGCAAGTACGGCACCATGAACCGTAGCTAGCGACTGACCAGAACTCAAATTTCTGCAATTGACAGCACAAGATTCTTGAAGTAATAGTGTCTACTATAAATGCAGAACGAACTTGTTATATCGGTACAAAAGTGAGCATTTGATGTCTGAAACAATAAAACTATAATAAAATGTCAAACATACAAGACTTAGATGATCACACAATGTATCTTTCATCATCTTAATGAAAGCTTGATTTTCCATTGAAGGATTTCAATAAGAAGTTCCCAATCGACATTAAAGTTTCCAATATTTTATTACTAAGTATCAGAGTCAAACTTTTCTTCTTATTTATCAAGAAAAAATAACGAATTTATATATTTAGAGGCCATAAAATTAACCTTTTTCTTCTCTTTCCTTGGAGAAGATTCGCTTCCCTACACGCTCGCTCGCGGAAGTCTCTAGCTAGATCTTCATCTCCACCCTTCATAAGGCCGGCCAGAACTGCTGCAGCATGCTCTCTTATCTGATTCAAAATATTATGTACCAAGTCAAAAGAAGACACAAATCCATTCCCCTGCCAAAGGGCTTGAGTTACGAAATCCTCAGGGTTGATATAACTCTGTCTACAATTCAACTACAGAAGATCATTTATTCTTAACTAGCTTGAAAGGGAAAACTAGCCACAGCTAAAAAAGATGACACACTCGCATATTACTTGTTTAATAAATATGAAATCGAGAACTTACCTCCACTTGGTTGTCTATAAGAAGCTTCTCAACAGTTCTCCAAATTTGTTGTTTCTCTGAACTTGTGAGAATGTACGTGTGCCTGTAAAGAAGGTAAACAGAATACCAAAAGTAATTCAACCGAAGCCACACGATATTTCCAATATCTTGTGTCAATCAAACAATTCTAAGAGGTCAAGAGAATGTTATCACAGAACAGGAATCTAAGAATTCAAAGTTCTTATTTATAAGTGAAACTAATTATTCCCACTTTGATTGGAAGTAAAGCTGGTGGACCCAATTAAGGCCGTTCGGTAACGTTCTTGTTTCTTATTTTTCCTTTCTTATTTCTTGTTTCTTCTTTTTCAATCATTGTGATTCTTGTTTCTTATTTTTTTTCTTTTTTGTTGSAAAAATAACTTTCTCTAAAATTTTAAATTAAAAAGTAAAAGTTTTATAAGAAAATTAATTTTTCAAATTAAATATATAAATTTTTATGCTATTTTTAGTTTTTGATATTTATTATGCATTTTATAAGTAAAAAATGATAAAATATTGTTTTTACCTATGTTTAGGACAAAAATTGAACAGGAAAAGAAAGAAAAACTTGATTGCATTGTTTTTAAAATTTTAACACAATTTTGAAAACTTTTCAACAAGAATCAGGAACAATTACAAAACGCTGATGTTTCTCAAAAATTGGAAATGAGAAACAAGAAACGGGAACGTCGCCCAACAAGTCTTCAGTGATCAATCTAATGGACTAACCTGTACATGAAAGATCGAAGATATGTCAACGTAGCAGATCTCGTTCTCCAGTTAGAATCGCCAGCTGAAGAGAGAATTACAGATATAACCTTCTGCAGATGGGGTTCCCAAAAGACCCTCCATTTAAGCAATTCAAAAGCTGCCTTTGCCAATGTTGACAAATCTTTATTTGATGTTTCCTTCATGACCAAAGAATAAAATAAAATAATGATAATGGTAATAATTAATCAAGAATATAGGAGAGTAATCAATGGGCCAAATCCAGCTGTCTTCTGTGAGAGAGAAGCAACAAGTCCATCAAAAAGCTCCCTAAATGTACAACAGTAAAGTTGGGTTTTATATACCTGCAAGGAGATTACAGGATATAGCAGACCAACGATAACATCTAGCAAATGAGAAGACCTTCCYGACTTCATTGACGATATGATAAAATGGAATAGCTGCAAAAGTGGAAGAGAGTTGATAAAATAAAGTTAATGTTAGATTTGAAAGTTCTTTTGATAATAGATTCTGAAAGTTCAAAACAAAGGGTTACAATATTTACCGTTTCCATCCATTTGACATCATCTTCTGAATCAACATTTGAGTGTCCATTTTGAAGTTTTATGTCTTTTGATGTGTCCAAGTTAATAGAATGGCTTGAGTTGTGAATATTCTTCACTGCCTTAGTTGCACGTTCGGTTAAAAGCTTAATCCATCTTTCCTCTTTAAGTTCGYCATCGACATCTCCATGTGAATGATCATGAGTACGAGATGCATGAAGTCGAATGTTCGAGCAAACAATGGAAAGAGTCACACCTATTGCTTCCCTTACCTGTTCAACAAATCCAGCTTTCAAAATTTTTAAAACAATATTGAAAATGTGTCGAACTGGCAACTTGTGATTCCATTTATGTAACTTTACTTGTCCAATACAAAATTTCTTGTGCTCTATAAAACACAACTAAAATGAACTTTAAGTAACATCAAGACAGAATTTTATATCTTAAAAAATCACATATAGAAAATAAAAGAAATATTGAAACACATCTACAAAGTGTTACTGTTACTCTATGCGTGAAATAGTGATTTTAATTATCAAACTTACGCACACTGACACCAAGGTAAAAATAGTAAAAAGTTTTTAAGTTGAAAAAAAATATACTATTAACATGTACTTCATTCATATGTCATCAATATATTTTTTAATCGATTAATTCATGATTTTAAAGGGCTAGGTGGGATAAGCACGTCTTCTGAAAAACAATGATAAAATCAACAATGTAACTATACTGCTACTTCCCGTGATGCACACTTAACCATTTCACTCTGGAAATTACTAGCTTTCAAAAAATTTCTCAGTATAAAGCTGTATGATTAGTCAGCAATTCCTAATCTCAAAACTGGGGAAAAAAAGGTAGAAATAAAACGTACGGGTTTCAAGTATCCAATAAATTATTAACAAAAGGAGGAGGAGGTGCTGTTACACCCTCCTTTTTGGGATAAGGGGCGTTTCTTGTAGCAAGCTTGTTTTTTGGCTACTTTTTGGAGTATTTGGCTGGAGAGGAATCACATATTGTTTAGGAGGTGGAGAAATCTGTGGATTATGTATGGGAGCTCATTAGATTTAATACTTTTGTTATGGGGCTATGTTTCCAAGGTCTTTTGTAATTATCCATTAGGATTCATTCTCTTGGATTGGAGCCTTTTCTTTAGGGGGCTCCCTTCTTCAGGACTGTCTTTTTGTAGGCCCTCTTTGTATTCTTTGTATTTATTGTACCTTGTTTCATTTTTCTCAACGAAAGCATAGTTTCTTATAAAAWAATAATAATAATAATAATAAAATAAAAAAATAACAAAATAATAAAAGAAAATAATAGATTAGGAATTCAAGATGATCCAGGTAGACATGGTTGTTAGATCATTTGAGTTTAACTCTTAATTAACTAAACAAAAAATTTGTTGGCTCCCCATTCAAGAAGGAAGCTCTTGTTATTTGGCAAAACGTAGTATCAGCTACCTTATGAAGGATTTGGTTAGAAAGGAATCCAAGGGTCTTCGGCAAAGAAACATTTATTTAGTGCTTTTGGGAACTTGTTCATACTTCTGCTCCTACGTGTTGTCTCATAGCTTAAGATTTTTGTAATTACAACTTTGTGAATTTTAATGCCAAACCGGAATTTTTTTTTGTAACCGCAGGCTCTAAGGGGATTGTTTTTCCCCTTCTTTTTGTAACAAGCTTTCTTGATGATGAAATTCTCACTTTCTTATAAAAAAAATAACTAAAAAAAATAATATTTAGCGCCAAGGAATTCAGAATACTAACACCTAACCACTAATACTGGAACTATTGTCAATGAAGACATTTATTTGAGTTTACGCTTCATGGTGGTAAGACCTACAATATGACATATGTATAATTCCATCATCACTTTAGGTTTTAGAAGACATGCAAGCAGAATGGGACGGACTAAAAAGAATAACTAAATTAAAATATAAGAGGAACATGCTTACTTGGGCAGATGAATGACACATATTGCCAAGCAGCTCCTCAAGAAGTCTAATATGTAGGCRTATTTCAGCCAATGGCATTTTTGAAGGGGATAGTTCTATAAGTGAAGCTGATAGAAAAGCATAGCGTTTGGCCACAATAGTGGTAGTTGCTGCTGCAGGCAAAGGTGTAGCCAAACATTCCAGAATCTGTTGCCTTAAGAAAGGGACTTTTGTTCCATATTTCCCCTTTCCAGTGACCGCGTAACGAATGCAAGTTGCCCACTCAGGTATAGATTCTACAGATTGTGCCAGAATGATATTCTGCAACTGGACCATTATCCAGCTTTCCCAAGCATCTAAAAGGCCATCGACGTCGGAATGCAATATGCCAGCCAATGCTTCTGCAGCAACACACTGCTTAGACCTCTCGCTTGCATTTGCAAATTCTTCCAACGTACTTTTCAGTGAGAACAGAACAGTGATCCCACATTCCTGTACCAACCGTTTGAAAATCCGAGCAAAATTTGAGTAAAAGGTGTCACTTCCTATCAATGATATCCAGCTAGGTGTGCGAGGCCATGAAGCTGAGAAGTCAAAATAAAAACGGGTGATTGATTTGTCAGCTTGACTCTGGAAAGAAGAGTTTCTATGGTTCCCTCCAGAGGATGCACCATCAACATCTGTTATTATGTGAACGTGAGAGAGACTATTAAATGTCTCGTTGAAAAATCCTTCTTCCTGAAAAATTTGTGTCAAGGCTCCTTCAAGGGATGACTTTGAATCTAATTGCATTCCAACAGGCAAGACACGTTCCTTGTCATCCGAAACTTTGTAAGGTGATTCTTTCAATAAAATATTCAAGGCTGAGATTGCAAGTATTCTAGTCTGAGGTAGATGACTTTTTAAATTTTTCAAGAAGTGGCCTGGAAAAGCATTAGCATAGAAAATTCAAGAAATAGGAGAAAATAAATTGATTCAGAACATAACGTCATCACAAAAAAATCACTCATCAAACCAGCAGTTTCACTGAGGATCTTTGAGGAGCTTGGGTCATTCCTAGATGCCATTGCCAATAGAAGCAAAACTCTGTTAGCCATCAAATTATACCTATAAAGAAGGAAGAACTTGATTTAAATATCTCATATTTTAAAAGCCAGTACTGCTATGAGTTTCATCATTGTGTGAATTTGTCCCTCAAAGTTGAGTGGAGAGCTTAACTGATCCTACAGAACATCTATATTTCACTACAAGTAGTAAAGCAAAATAATTTTACCGCCAGTGTAAGCTGGTAGAATCAAAACTCATTGAACTGAGCTGAGAAACCAAATCTGCAAAATCGACGTCACCCATTTGTTTCTCTGATGTTAGGAAAATGCTCTTAGATACTCCAGCAAAGTGAATGTTAAATTTGACAAATAGCTGTAGAAAGTCACATAAGGTATTACTTAAGGTACTTAATTGATGAAGTAGATATTATTTTAAAAAATAAAGTCGCAATTGCTATCATGTTATTTTGGATGATACTTTACCTCATTGATTGCTTTCTGGGCTTTCAGTGATTCATGATGGGAGCTTCAGGCAAAAAGGAGAATGAGAGGACACAGCATATATTCAAACGATATAGGATTTAAGGCAGGGAAAAGAAGTTACCTTGAAAGAATTCCAAAAATAAATGAAGAGAATGACTTCGAATCCTGAAGAAAAAGGAAGATATTTCATGAACATTTCATTACAGAAGTAATCTGTTTAAAGACCTCTGTTCTGATAGCTACCACTGTCATATGCTTCAGAACTGTTTGGGTGGCAAGGATTGCACAGGACCCTAGTACAGCATTTTCAGGTGAGTCAGGGTTCCTTAAATTCTCAGAAAGAGAGAGAACACACTTCGAAATCATAGATGGCCATCTCTTTAGCAACTTCATAAGAGACTTTCCAGCAAGTCTGAGCAGCAGGTCAAAATTTTAAATTAGAAATGTTATATCACTTATCATACAGAATTAGAGATCGATGTATAAAGTTGATAAACTAAAAGTATGCAGAACCGACAGCAATGATATTAGAATCGTCACTATCAACATTCTTCCAATGGACAAAATAAGATACCATATTGATGATAAAAAGGAAGAAAAAGATTAAAAAAAAAAAGTTACCAATTACCAGAAAACTCTACAAATGAATGGAAGGAGCAAAAAATTTTGAGCTGTTAAAGACTTCTTAAACAATTGAAAAGTGATATAAATCAACTGGTATTCTTATTAGGCATTGAAAGTATATCTCTGGGGTTCATCCAAGAGGCTCCCAACACTCTGCCCATCTACTAAAGTTCACATCCTTCTTATATATCAACGTTAACTACATGTCACTTTTCAGCCATCAACTTGGTTAACTTTCAGTTACAAAAGAGGCCCCACATTCACTTCTTAATCTTCCTCCTTTSGTGCACATGAACAATGGACGCGGTGAATCATCATCCCATCCCTAATGAACCACCTTGTCCTAAGGTGGAAAACAGAAAATTGGGTACCAATGGTGCTTGCTGATTCCCACATTCCATCAGAGAAAAAGCATTCTTCCTAGAAAACCAAATCTCCAAAGTTTAAGGATCACGTAGGGCTATAATATTCTACTCAGACCCAAAACCTCAACTGGCTAGTCTTGCAAAACCATGTTACAAGAAAGTTGGCAAGTATAAAAATATGTTCAATAATTTTGTTGAACCCACCCATGAAATATTATATGAATGGAAGGGAACTCTGGAAATAATAACGTGTAATGAGATCAGAAACCGAAAAGGACCATAACACTGCAGTGCTTGTTAGCATTCAACTACTCTACTAAAGTGATTTGCTGATGGGTAATTAACTTCTGATTAGCCCAATACCCAACAGGTCATAAATTACAGAGTTTGCCATTGGACGTAACGACCAATCTTTGCTAGCAACTTTAGGGGTCGATTTGAGAGCTACCATCACTCTCCCAACTATTATATCCCCAAAAACTACCCTCAAAGTTTTCATCCTTCCTATACACATCACTCTTTTCTGCCCCAATCTGGTATACTTTCATTTACAGAAGGGCCCCCATATTCTTCTTAAAATCCATTCTATGCCCCAATCCCCTTCTTATTCTTAGTCTGGTACACGTATTATGAGAGGCCTACCAAAAGATTACCAAATTATTAAGCAAGATTATACGAGATAAATTTATCATTAGGCCACATACGAAGGCTTGATGACCAATAAAGTTTATACATTCCTGAAATTTAGAAAGAGAGAAATTGCACTCTTAAGTAAACCGTGCAGGAAACTGGGAAATACCACATCAAAAGATTCGCTTTATAATGTTTGGAACAAGATAAATTGTTTGCATTAGGATCCAGTAGATGGTACCATGTGTYGCCATAGGGCAGTTTCTTAGAAGACTTACACACGAACAGTCTCATAACTGTGCAAAGCGAGATTTAAAAGATCATCCACCAGAAGAATCACATGCTCTGGTGGACAGAAATTTCCACCAACTCGGTATAAATGATAGGATGATTGTGATGATCTCCACGTACTGTGCATGTATGCTTTATCAATAAGTGCCCACCTTGGCCTGATAAAAAAATAACAATAAAAATAATAATTAGAAGAGAGAGAGAGAGAGCTCAGGTTAAACACCAATATACTTGAGCACAATAATATTACTGAGTGGGATCTCGTTAAAAAAAAAAAAAAAGCTACCTTTTCTTGCCTTTAGAACGAGTGGACATGATAAAATTTGTAGGAGGCTCAATAATAGCAGCAGATTCCAACTTCCAAGCATGCCTATGGTTGGACCATTCATCATATTCCAGACTACCTACATGAAAGAAGATTCATTATTTGTCTTATGAAGGGATATGAATGGGATTTGGGGCAAAGACAAAAACACAAAAGTAGGCTTAAAATTTGAGTAGCCAAGGCAAAATGACAAAAAACTATACAAATATGTACTTTACCATAGTTTCCTAAAGCATCCATTATGCGAATAATGAGTATCAATAAAACACTATCATCAGCTTTTTTTTCCAGCAAATACCTGCTCACCACATGATAAAAGTGGCAATRAGCATATTAAACCATGACAAATTGAAAACAAAAAAGAGATTCACAATGTACCTGCAGGCTGCATGTATAATATCTGCAGCTTTTTCCCTTAATTTAGTGCTGCCAACACTTGGACCTGATSCCCCAGCAATGAAGAAAGAATGAACTGGATTCCCAACCTTCCCATTTCTTAAGGATGGAACGAAATCAGGCAAGCAAGACAATACACCTTGCAATGAAGAATCAATGCGCAACAGAATCACTTTCAAGTGATCTTTCTCATCTCCTGCGTAATAAAATAGAAACCATTATATTATTATTACTTTATTTCTTGCATAACCAAAAACTTGAGGCAAAAGAATTTCATTAAACATATGAATGTATTGAGATACTGATCATAATTTTTAGAATCTAAAGATACTGATCATAATAAAAAGTACATTCAGATAATTTCAAGAATAACTACAATATGGATCCCTGGAATCAGTAACTCCTACAACTATTTTTTCCTGCCTAAAATGTGCCTTGGTTTGTGCAAGCACTGTTTAAGAGGAATAAGTATGCGCCCGGACCTGGATCAGCATGAATTTTGCCTTCACATATTTGTAATAGATCATCCAAAGCTGATTGAAAATGAAGATCCAATAATTCATTTGCAAACTGAATCTCTTCATCATTTGGAATGTGCCACTTGGGGATCACTAATGGTGATTCATCATTTGAGTAGTCTTTTGTACTGATCCATTCCTCTAATGCCGAAGCATCAGGATGACGTACAGCACATCTAGAAATTCAGATATTTCAACCTCCAAGTCAAGTGGGAAAAAGTAGAAAGAGGAGGATAAAGGGAGATGCACTTGAATGCCAGTGAAAAGAGATGGACATACTTGTACTGATCAATAGGATAATAGAGAATCAAACTCCCTAGGAGAGACCTAAGAAGATGATCAGCAGCCCCATTCACCTGTTATACGACCATACGAAAAAAATCAAACCAGACCAAACGAACCTTTTTATCAAGAAGATCTTGACTTGATTTTTAATCACCAAGAGAAAGTAAAGCAGACATTAACCTTCCACGATGGAGACTCAAAACCACAACAAATAGCTTCCTTGAATTTTTCTTTATAAGGAAGTAGTGTCGGGCCTCCATAGCTCAYGGCTACAGATAACATCTTCAACTGATAGTCAATTGCAGTTTCAAGAGCTGGAGAAAGCGCCGGTTTTCCCTGAAAAGAGAATTGTTACACTTTTTCACAACATTATTAAACTATTGGTACAAAATGTGTGAAGTTAAAAGAACCTTCGATTTTCCTTGCCCTCCAAATCCTGTATTTGGCATCCCTTTCATAGAGGATATGGCAGATGACAAAACTGGCTCAACAAGTTGAGCAACTGCCTCTTCTGGGTCAGAATGAACACATGCACAACAAAGAAGTCCAACCTCTGCAACTGCTCCGGGAAGAATATTTGTCTTGACAAATTTAGAAATTTTCTTTAAAGCCTGAAAGTGATGGAAGAGAAAAAAATTTACACCCTGTCCAAAAGCTTATTAAGTTGCTAGAAAAGGGTAATTGGAGCAGTCGTGAAGTTTATAAAACCTGAGTGAACAATGGTTTTGAAAGCCTTCCAAGCAGGATTTCAAGCATACAGTAGTAGTAAGGCCCATCATCGACCAGAAAAGTTCCTGAAGCTGATGAAGAATGTAGACCCTCATTCCTGCCAAAACAATCAGTAATGCCTGAATATGGATTTAGCAATTGAAAAATGATTAAGAAAATGATTTGGCCAAAAAGATAAAACTTAGTGGCATAACTTACAGAACACTGCTAGGTTCCAGGTGCAGGAGCAAGGAGAATAGGCGACATAAAAACTCATCCAACCATTCAGAAAATCGTATCATTGGAATAATAGACAGCTCGTCTAAGTTATCATTCAAAGAAGCTAACTGCAAATTTATATTTTGATCATTGGAGGCGAACTTAAGAAGAGAACTAATAAATGAATGTTACTACTTACATTGGAGAATAGGGAACCAATTAATTGCATGGTGGCCAGGGTTTTAGGAGGATCATTAGCATCCATACCAAGTAAGGCATTGGATAGTGAAACCATGAGAAGATTAACGAACTCATCATCAGCAACAATATCTGCTGGCTTTACAGCCGAAGCTGACAAAGATGTCAGAAATAATGGACGCCCAACAAATGCTACTGACATAACAGCAGTTTTCAACTGGTGGGTAGCAGTCATCTAGAAAGACAAAAAGGACAAGGAAACTAATCATATGCAGCAACTAGAACACTAACAATTAAATAAAAATTAAATTTAGTTTGCATGGGAAACCCTCAAATGATCGATARATTGAAGTAGAGCTTAAAATAAAATCTGCAGAGACCAAACCAAACTGGACCTAACATGTTTGTTTACATGGGTTTTCAGTTTTCATCCAAAAATAATGATAATAAAAACCAAACCAAACTAGTATTCAAGCTTCTCAATTTTTATATTTATCCTTTCCCCATCAATTTCATCTTTCCTCCTCTATCCCTTCCACTTTGAATATTGTGCACACATACCTTTTCCCATACACTTCTAATAAATAAATGTGTGTGTGTATGCTCTCTTCTAATTAAATTTTATAATTTTTTAACCTTTAGTTTTCATATTTTTCTCTCTTTCCCTCAAAAACAGTAACAAATAATCTCTGTTCTTACTTATGAATCCTTTCTTTTCTAATTCTATCCTATCTTTCAGTTCCCGTTTCTAAATATAGCCACTTCAATTCCATTACTTTGTTCTTTCTACTCTTTTCCTCCTTTAGTTGTCATGCATATACCAACCTAAACTGATCAAAATAACCATGATTGGTCAATTTATGTCATCTTTATAAGATAGATTTTTGGTCAGTTTCCTCTGTAAAAGGAACCAACATACTTGGTTTGGTGTCAATTATTAGTCAAAACTAACTGACCAGCCCACTTACATATGACACATCCTAGAATTAGGGATCTAAACTTTTCCAAGTAGAGGCAATATGACTAACCGTCTCCAAGGCCATATGAAATCGAGAGGCCACAAAGGGAAGAACCAAAGAAGGCTCTACATAAGACAAAATAGAGGTTGCAGCTGCAACTGTTTCAGAAAGATGTTCATTTTTGCTATACTGACCACGATCAATTAACTTTAAGATTGTATTGACAAAAGATTTTCTTTCTGATGGTCCTAAATACAGCTTGTTCTGATTATTCTCATCTGCCTTCCTGGAATAACAGTATTTTATTAGAAAGCCATAATGGGTAAAAGCTAACAATATGTTATTCTAACCAAATAAAGGAAATTCTCACTGCTCAGACTGAAGCCGTTTCCGGAATGTAAAAACCAAATGAAGCAAAAATCGCTCTAATACATAAGTCCAACGCCCACCATTAGAAGGATGATAATATCTGTTACAAATTTTTTTTGTAAGAGATTAAATTTAAGAAAAAGATAAATAGAAAAAAAATTTTGATAGAGTTAGAAGGCAGTGAACTAACTGTTCAAGAAGGTCGATCAACTTCTCAAGGTGAAGCCAGGCTGAACTACCGGGTTTTAGAAGATATACCTGCAATTTAAATGTCAACACATTTTCATAACATCTCCCATGAATATCAGAACAAAGATGCTTAATAATATCAACTTACGATTGATTTTGCAATGGCTTTAGATGGGGTGCCCATCTTATTGGAAAACAAGAACCTGGTATTTCGAGGAACATCCACAGAGAATGGATATGATCCACTACCATTTGCTACTGGAACCTACAAATTTCTCACATGAAGTATGAGTTTCTGTTTGGCAGTTGAGTTTCAAATGATTTCAAGTCAGGATAAGAAACACAAAATTAATTAATTAATTAATTAATAAAAGCAAGAACATTTGATTCTACAGCAATAAATCTAGAAGTTTATTTCAAGATACAATATTATATCTAGAAACTGAATAAATATATAAGACTGAATAAAATCTGGAAACAATGGAAAGTTAAATATTTGTTTTCATAATTGGTCTGTTTTTGCATACCTCCCTCTCTCTTTCTTCATTATTCAACAAATATGATAAAGAATATAACTTCATAACTATCAAAATCACATCATAAACTACTATAATAAAAATAAAATAAAATAAAAATATGAATACACTTGAAACAACTATTTTAACATTTGTTAAAACTTCATCTATTTATTTTTGAGAGAGAGTGAAAATCCAACCAAACATGTTCCTGAACTTTTAGAAATTACAAAAAGCAACAATTTCCTTGTTTGCATGTTTCCAAAACCTCGCTTTTCAATTGCAACTCAAGTAAGACCTACACCTTTTAAATTTCCACAAAGGTAGATAATCATTTTTTGTAACAAAGACTAACGACAAGAAAAGGTCTACAACATGATCAACGCAGAACTCTTTACTTTTAAATACTTCATATGTCAAGGTTCATGCTCAACTACAAATAGAATCCACCAAGTGGTACTTCTAACCAATTGAATCACTCATCACTCGTTTAAGACGATCATCAAACTGCAGTTCCTCAAGCTCAACTATAGATTAGCAACCAGCCTTTGGTGTTTCTAACCAATATCTAACATAATTAAAAATAACCTGCAGAGTTCAAATGCTCACCTCAAACATGTTTAAGAATCTAGAGAAAAGTGTAGGCAAGAAACACTCCCAGTCTATAAGACTATAATTTTTGACAACGCGAGCTATAATGGCTGCCCACTGACTGTTCCAAAATTGGCAATTTGGTATTGAGTCCCAGTGTTGCATACATTCTTCAATCCAATTGCTGCCATATAATGGCAGGACGTTATGATCTGATAATTGAGCTAAAAAACTACTTCAAATGAAATTTCTACATACAAGTACTCCTTACTGTGAAAAAAAGTCTTGGTTGTCCAAATTGGTGGGAAGAAAAAGTCTGACAAAACCAGAACCTTCAAAGGATGAATTATGCCAAGGATTTTCCAACATAGATCTGCAAATTCCACTCATTAGTTGAGACTGACTCATTTTCCCCATTTTGGGCGGGTTGGGGGATWAGAAACAAAACCATTGTATAAAGCAAATGAAGTGTCCAAAGACAGTTGTGAAGATGAGACATCAATTTAATTATAAGAATAATATTTCCATGTATATCAAACATTCATGTCTAGTCTTTATGCCAAAGATATAAAAGTGACAATATGTAAAGCTATTGAACAGGTTACAAATCAAGTGCCACTAAATTGACCAATTTAGGATGAGATTATATTGAAAAAACAATGTGAGTGAGTCGGTGACTTTTGACCCTACATGACATTTTATGCATTGATGATAACCAAGTCTACAAATTAATGCAAGAGATACAAATGAGAACACAAATTTTCGAAAACAATTTTCTTATTTGCATGACAAAATTTTTTTTTTTTTAGAAAAATCATAATTGAGGGTTTCCCAGCAAATTTTTTCATACGTCAACTAATCCTAGCTAGTGTCTGATAGTACAACATTTAGAATTAATAAAACATAAATTATTAATATCTAGAGTGAGTAGCTACCAACTCAATGACACCACCTCAAGAGCACTTAAATTTACAGTTTATCTCTTTCATGGTACTCACATATTTAAAAATGTATATATGTAAAGTATAAACAAAAATAAGGAGAAAAGAAAATTTGAATACATGGAGTTCCTATTGACTACACGACAGGTAACTATAGCATAGAGAGATAGCACCACCTGAACTCTGTCCATATATCAGCAGCAGAACCAGCTGGGAAGAATCTCCGGCAGGACCTAACAAGAGAGGTAATTGCCTCAAAATGCCGCTGCCTTAATCTCCAACCTTCTGGGCCTGTGCTCCTAAAATTAAGAAAAGAAGCTYTCATAATAGAGTAGCAAGCAAATTAGTCTACAAATACCAGCAATCAAGGACATTTTACATGTCATAGGCCAGGGTCAGAACTTTTGACATTAAAATGACCAAACTGAACACCTACAGAGCAAGTCGATATCCTTAAATTTAAGACCAAGAAATACTGAAAGCCTTTACTCTGAAACTAAAAACTCAGGAATAAAGCAAGATTTTTGACTTGACAGAAACAACAAGAAGAGTTTCAAGTAACATGTAAAGTCATTCGCAAGACAATTTAACATAGTACATGCTCTGGTAACCACCATAGTTTCTTGCTTGGATGACTCACCTAGTAAAATGTGTATGCACAAGAGTGTCATACAAAGGTCGCCACTGAACTTTCACGGATAGCCTCTTTGAATACTTGTTTATTATTCTGACTAGGAGATTTCCCCATCTGACCTATAAAAATAAATAGGATCTTCCTTTAGTAAGGAAAAAGATAACAGCAACAAACATTGAACAAGAAGTATTTATCATTTCAAATATAAAAATCAGCACCTGAGCGTACAGCTTGTCTTGTGACATATGAAATAACTCTAACCCAATATCTACAACAGCAGCTACATCTTCCAATGATACTTCGCTTTTGGCTTTCATAAAACTGCATAGCATAGTAAGCATTTAACTAGTTATATTCATGCCAATCATCAAAACTTTACCATTTTTCTGACAACTCAGAGAGAGCATTGAACAAATGATTGGCAGCATTCTAACAATATTTTGTTATGAAAATCGGGAAGAGAAGATAAGACATCTTTCCAGAACCAAAGGCCAACATTAATTGCAAAAACACTCTCTTACAAATCAAAGAGAGAGTAACTACAAAATACTAAACCAAGGACACTCCAAGAGGAGCAACATAGCAAATAAGACTCAAAACACTCAATAAGATCCTAGACGGGTCCTTAGAATTCTGTCCTATTCACTTCAAGTCAAATTTATCAAAGAAGCAGCCTCATTCAGAAGACATTTCTTATAGTTTTTCTTTTAATGAAAAACCAACCTTAATTGCGCAAGATGAAATAATACAAAAGAGGCAAACAACCAGTCCACTGAAAAGGAACTGGCGAACTGCAAAAAAAACTAACCAGGTATACAAAAGAAGGCTCCAGCAAGTCCTAATGGATAGTTACAACATTCCTTCGATAAAGACGCCCCAGACACAAGACCGAACCTCTTCCCAGGACTTACCAACACTGTTGAAAATTCTCCTTTTCTCTCACAGTCAAATCCCCATAATGCAAAAAAAAGGAAAGTGCCAAATAACGCAACCCTTATCAYGAAACAGGAATGCGAAAGCATCTCCTCCATCATAAAGCAACAACCTCTGAGAAAGTCATTTTCCTAGTTGCAGCTGAAGGAAATTGTAGCAGACATGAGATGCTTGTTCATAAGTCAAGTTCTGCCACTCAAGCTAATTAGAGCACCTTTCTGAAAAAGTCATTTTCCCGAACCCATTATTTCCACCAGTACATGGTCATCCTCAAACCGTCTGATATTGCCATGTAACTGTGGTCTAGATATCCTAGAACATATAGAAACTGAGATCTTTGTATGCAGAGATTTCTTTAAAAAAAATAAATTAAATTATTAAAAAAAAAAAAGATCATGCTAATAATCTATAAGAACATAATCCGAGTGGCCGGTGGCATACAGCCCAAGACACGCGATGTCATAATAGATAAAATGATTCCTATATTCCCAGAAGCACAATAATCCTCAGTTTCCAACTTTATTTTCAGCCGCCTGACACGGAATACAATGAACTAGTAGGACTATCATAAGCAAAGGGAAACGGGTATTCTGACCCAATTCAGAAAACCGAGTTTAATCATGGTTAAAGAGCTTAAACCTGGATTAAACATTAAATCTTCCAAAAAGAAAGAAAAAGAGTAAGAAAGAAAGGAAAGAAAAAGCAGAGACGCACAGTTAGAGAAGTAGACAGACACAATTATCCTTTAAGTAAACAGTAATTGAAATTAAGGGACGCCATTAAAAGCAACATCCGAATCAGAATTAAGGAACAAAAAAAGAAAAAAAGGGTGAAATACTGACAGGTCAATAACGGAGACCCATTTGAGAGTGGAATATACAGATTCAGGATCATCAGGGCGATAAGAATCCTTGAGAGAAGTGATGACAAGAGCGAAAGATTCCTTCTCCTTGGTGGTATCTCGAGCAACAGGGGGCGGAAGCCAAGCATTATAGAGATGCATATTTTCTTGGACGGCCCAGCAGATTCCAAAGCTCGCAGAAACTGGAGA